GGGGGGGGGGTGTGTGTGTCTGATATTGTTTTATAATAGGGCATTTCCCACAAATATGAATTTATACTTTGACAAGGTCTCAGTGTGTGTTTTCTGTGGGATGTGAAGGGGAGGAGGGTGGAACATGATGACTAATGAATCAGAGGCCCAGGCTTTCAGGGAATCAGTAGACTGGAAGTCAAGATGGGTTACAGACAAAAACAAAAGAGCCAAAGACATGAGAAAAAAGTAAGTGAGGGGATAATGAGCAAAAGTGCATAAATAAAAAAACGTAATGATGGGTAATGGAAGAAGAGGGAGGAATCCAGGGCATGGTGGTTAATGAAAAGGAAACAGCGCAACTGCAGACTAGTGGGTAATGGACAGAAATAAATGGAACAGAGATATAAATGGTAGTAATTAAGTACGAGGGACTCGGGTTTAATGGGTAAATGGCAAGTAAGAATAGGCCAAAGGCAAAATTATGAATAATGTAATAAGAGCTCAGGACATGATGGGTTATAGATCTGGATGAATGAGCCAGAAGCAGAGGGATAAATAATGGAGAAATAGGAGCCGCAGGCATGCAGGGTAATAGACCCAAAACATGGTGGTTAATTAAAGAAAGGCTAGAAGAGCGACGGAAGTGAGCAAGCAGAAATGTGCTAAAGGTAGTACAGGCAATGAAACTGAAATGAATGGAGCGGAGGCATGCTGGGTAATGGGATGAGAATGAATGGGCCAAAGATAGAAGTCGCAGTGACGCAGGTCGGGAGTGGAGTGGGGGGGAGTGGGGGACAGAAGGCATCATGGGTAACAAGAAAGGTGGGTCTGTAGCAACTGTCGCGTTAAACGGGTAAAGGGCATTGTGGGTAACAAGAAGCAGGCGAGGGTTCAAACAACCGGTTAGAATTCTCCCGAGGCACTGTGGGAAGGACCAGCACTTCCGGTTTTCGGTCGCCGACTCGGGACTGGGGACTACCCCTCTGCCGCGGTGCCTGGTGGGACGCGAGGCCTGACCTTGCTGCCTAGCAGCCTCTGCCGCGCAACCCACCTTTACCCGTGTCCCTCGACCCTGGCACCTTAGCCAATGAGGGCACCAGACTGATCCTGTCACTAGGGTCCGGCCCCTGTACCTGTCGGAGCCAATCAGGGTGCTGCAAGGGCCAAAGCCGGCCAATTATCATGCCAACTTCTCCGCGGGGCAAAGTCGAAAGAGGAGCGCCTTCTGAAGAGGGGCGGAGGCGACGAGTCAGTGGGCGTTGCAAAGTGCTCAGCACAAACCAATGGTAGGGGAGCACCGGAACCCGCGGCGTAGCGAACCAATAGGCGCGGGCTTCACGAGGCAATGGGAAGGCCGGGGAGGTGTGCTTTGACCAGCTCGCGAATGGGAGCCAATAAGGAAAGGACGTTCCAAAGAAGTGGGTGGAGTTCCCATCCATGGCTCCAATAGTGAGGCCAGGCCCTGCCGCTGTGGGCGGATCCTAGGGCATGCTGTACCAATAGGCCAGGTGGGGCGGGGCGACGGTGGTGGCGGCGGCGGCGGCAGTGGGTTCGGTTGCGCGTGGCGCACGGGGTGGGAGCGGAGCCCAGGCCGGGAGCAGGCGCAGCC